ATGCGGAAACGTTTACCGATTGGTTCAAATCCGCATTTTTACCGCACGCGGAGCGGCTTGAAGGTCGAAAAGTTTTAATAGGCGATAATCTCGCATCCCACTTTACGGACGAAGTAATAAATCTGTGTGAAACTAATAACATCGGTTTTGCATGTCTACCTAAGAACGCGACACATTTATGCCATTAGATGTGGGTTTTTTTAGACCCTTCAAAATGGCTTGGAGAGATGTTCTCCTCAGATGGAAAAACGCACATCCGTCGCTTTCTTCCATTGATAAGAGGGATTTTCCACATTTGCTGCAATCAACGTTGGTGGAAATGGATAACAAGAAATCAAAGGAAAATGATGAGCAAAATGCGATTACCAGAAGTCTTATATCATCATTTGATGCAACGGGTATTGCACCATTCAACAGAAATCGCGTGCTGGACAAATTGCCAAGAGATAATGTAGAAGAAGGTGAAATACAAAATGCTCTTGTAAATTATTTGAAAGAGAAGAGATTTACGAACACACCCTCTAGACGTACAAACAAGCGCACAAGATTAGTTGTGGAGCCGGGAAAAAGTGTAACCGCTAAACGTTCAAGTAGCAGCAGTTCTGAGAGTGATGTGGATGGGCCTGTGACTAATGACAATTCCGAAGAAGACATTGATGTTGATGATCCTTTCTTCATATTACAAGAAAATGAAGAAACAGAATACTTAGAGGTCAACAAAGATGAAATAAAAAAAGGAACTTATGTATTGGTAAAAGTGCTTGGTGGGATGCGTAAAACGGTAAATTATCGATATGTTGCGATTGTTCAAAATGTATTGGATGATGAACTTGAGGTGGTAGGCATGAAATCTGTGGATTGCGCAAAATTAACTTTTAGAGTGGAAGAAAATGACGAATTTACTGTAGACTTGGAAGACATTATCGCCATTTTACCAGAACCAACTGTTGATACTAGCAAGGACATAGTGCAATACGTGTTTAAAAAAGTCGTAGATGTCAAAGAGATTTAATTTAGATTATGTTTTAAAGCGTTATAAATGAGTTTACTTTTATTTTATGTATTATACTTCCAAAGATTTGATTTAATAAACATTTGTTTGCATCATGGTCAATTTCGCCCCTATGAACAATTTCCCCCCTAAACACAAAAATTGAAATAACTTTTTAACCAGTGCATGAACTTCAGTCGGGGTTAAATTGTTCACCTTTAAATGCAATTCCCCATGTATCTACGTTAACATCGCGATGCTGATCAAAGTGACCCCAAACATGTATGAAGTTGATCATTGCATTTATTGCCATTATTTACCAAACAAAAAGCGTTTTTTGTTCTTCTATTGATTGAAATATTATCCTAACACGAGTGGGCTATGATATAAATAAAGAAACAGTAAACAAAGTATTGTCGTAAATAAATACAGCGGCTTAAAGCTTTCAACTGATCAATTTAACCCCATTCCACGGTACGCCTTGTTTTATTTAAAAAAATTAATTGGTTGTTTTATTTCTTTAGAAAATATTTTTTATCAAATTCAGTTGATATGTCCGGGTTTATAATCCCTAAATCTGGGGTTTTCATGCTTCCTGTCCTAGTTGGTAGAGTTTTGAGATGGCAAACCTAACTCTGCTTGAACGTAAGTAGGTAGGTAATTGGTCTAAAAGAGAATTAGCTATAGAACGTTTATCTTTGTATTTATCTATAAGTACATTGAGAATTATTCTATAGTTTTCTCCTGTAGGTGCGATACCTGAACATACCGAAAGGGCGTTATCTGTTAGACAACCACGCAAATAATGAACGCGATTAACGTCACTTAAATCAGGATTGTTATGGATCATACTGTTATAACATTCTATAAACCTAGGCCATTCTTTACTATCACCACTAAATTTAGGCAGAGGCATTGTTTAAATATTTAAACAATGGCAGAGGCACTTCGGGTAATTTGCGAATTGATTTACGGTCTTGACGCACCGTGGAAGCGGGTGTGGAACGGTTACTGTAACTATCGATAACCTTGATTGCTACAATGCTACATATTCTATACGACAAACTAAATCGTCAATACTTTCTATAGGTAGGTAAGTTTAAAGTTAGGAACGAATTCTTCATCTAACTCGCATTCCAAAAGATTGATCTCGTCTACCACTACCTACTAATAATTTGGATTTGGTTTCTGATAATGATGCGTACCTCATCTTAAAATAATTATGCAACTTTCTCAGCCGTACTATTATGATACAAGCGTTGAAGACCAGAGAAATATTGCTCCTTTTTTGCATTCAAAATCTTTAAGCGCTGTTCTTTTTGTGTAGCCATTGTTAATCACAAAAACACAAATCTATCCCAGATAGAATGTCAAGCTCAAAACTATAAATTGACGCGTATCAAAACAAATTCTATAATATAAATGGAATAGGCAAACCAGATTGAAGAAACTGAATGTTATCTTCAATTGAAAAGAAACGTTATCGCGAATCTAACCCAATGAAATTTACTATGAAATATTGCATGTGAGAATATCTAAAACTATATAAAAAAGAAAATCCGGTTCGATTTGGACCAAATGATTTAGGAAAATATCTATGGCTAATATTTAATTGATTGACAGATAGGTGAACGATTAATTCATAATGACGACGCTGTAGATAGATACAGCTCACACGCAACAAAACTTTACCACAACAAAGCTATTGAATCTTATCACCCAAAATTTCCCAAACTAAAATTAAAATGAATGTATGCCTACTCCATCTATACAAAAATGAAATAAAACTGAAATTTATTTATTAACCAAAATTGATATTTGTCTGTAATTTAGAAGAGGCGCTAAAGATATTATAATATAACTGAATAGATACCTACATATATCCTTGCCAATTATTTACTAATTAATGTTAATTTATTTTATTGTTTATTTATACAAGTACTCTCGTGTGTACTCTAACAGCTAAATTTACTTGTTTTTTACGACTGTGTTTAATTTTTAAAGTGATGTAATTGTGTAATTTTTTTTAAATAATATGTTTTATCTTATCCAAAATTTAATTAACAATACGAAAAGGTGTTAGGTATTAACATTTCACATAAAAAAAGTTTGCAGATTTCGCAACCATTGAAAGTAATAACCGTATAACGCCAATGTAAAACACAAATGAGCCTTATTCACCCGGGATCACTTGCTCCACACGCTCGCAAGCACGTTCGTGTCGCAAACGTACACTTTCTCAATAATAAGCTCATGACATGCTCGTAATCCTATTTAAGGAGATGTGCGATAATTTTAGATTGGAATTAACAAAACAATTGCGCAGGTATGGATCCCCATAACACTGCCTCTGATTCACCGATAGTCTCCCGGGGTATGACCGCGCTCCAGGACTTCCAAACTCCATGGACATACCGCTTCTACTGCCGCGAAGGTGTAAATAGGCTCTAGAATGGGTTTATATTTAATCCTTTTTTTCTTTGTCTGGATTTCGGCGGCTGCGCCCGCGGTAAAGGACGTCGACCGAATGTTGAAGGGGCGTCCCGCAACTAGCGTCCCAAAACAGCAGTTTCTCTTTCTTCCAAGGAATCAAGGTGGAGCCATCCATCCGCCTGCCGTGATGGCTTGACCCGTTTGGAAATCATGCCATTGCTCCTGAAACGTCGTCATCAGTAGCACTTTCGTAGATGTCTTCGCTTTGAGGAGAGCAAAGGGGATCTGGTAATTACAGATGACGCCTAGGATGGGGGTGGGAACAGGAGGAAGCAATTCATAAGGTAGGCTCGGGCCTTGACGAAAACCCCACCACTGCCCCATCAAGCCAGCTCGTCCGCCCTTTCGCTGCCTAGATCCTTCCTGTAGGTTTCCCTGCGTATGTCAGACCACCATACAAGTGCCCCCTACAGTATTATTGACCTTATCACTACAGTGTAAACCCAATAATATCAGTCGGGGGTTCAAGCCCCATGTACAGTCAAAAGACCTTCTACATGGCCTTTTGATATTCGCTCAATGAGCCCTTTCCAGATCAAACGGGAGTCTATGATGACCCTCAAATGGTTCCCTGACCTGGTGAGATCCAGTCGACGTCCTCGAAGAGTCAGCCCATCAAAGTTCGCTTTCCTAAATGGAACAACCTTCCGGATTAACGAAAAGGTCATGGCTACGGCATCACAACTTTTCAAAAGACCCTGCATGAGCACTTTCATGGTGATTAGAAACTTTCCAGTTACGATGATCGCGAAATAATACGCTCCATCCTCGTTCAGAGTGCGCATGGAAACCTCAGTGCCCCGGGTCTGTCACCAGGATCAATTAAAGGGCCTTCGAAACTCCTTACGAAACTTTCTATGGTCTGAGTTCCACCAACGTGTCCTCATTGTTCATCGAGAGTACCGCAGTTTACAGTCTTACGACGCTGTTATGGCGTCGCTTGCTAATGCGGCCGGCCCCTTCCCCCTTCCTCTTTAACCGATAGGGCAAAGGAGATTCCTTAAACAGAAATCAGTCATTAGATAAGGCTCGTTTCGTCTGTCGACATAAATCCAAGTACTAGGGTTCAGTTGGCTGTCCCTCTTATAATAAAGGTAGTCCTCCACCTGGCCTAGTCCTCGTCCCTTGCACATCGAAGGTTCTTGTAGGAGGCATACGCCTGACTGCTTCACAGCAAGTTGACGGCCTATTGACCGAGTCGCCCCCTAACTGTGCTGAAAATTGCTCTGTAAGAAGGTTACCTCGTCCATCACTATCACTATCACTAGGCTCCCCTCTTCCCTAGTCATGCCGACGAATAAAATCAAATAAAGTAAAATAACATAAAATAAAATAAAATGAAATGAAATGAAATAAAATAAAATAAAATAAAATAAAATAAAATAAAATAAAATAAAATAAAATAAAATAAAATAAAATAAAATAAAATAATATTTTATTCATTTCTTGAGATTGTGTTCTCGTCTCAATATTTTTGTAAAATCCCCGATTGTAATTGCTACTACTTCGCTCAACAGGTTCTTCCAGTGACTGGACAACTACGCTGTATACCAGGGCGTATCCAAATGGAACAACGGACATGAATCAGGCGAGCCCATCCAGGCCGACGGTTATAATAGCCCACGGATGGCAGCAATCCTCCAACAGCGTATGGGTAATTGAGGCGAAAAACACACACCTCTCTACGGCGGACAAGAACATCATCACGTTGGACTGGTCGAAGGACGCCGTAACACTGGACTACCCACAGGCGGCAGGTGCCGTTCCGCTGGTGGGCGCCTACCTGGCGAAGCAGTTCCACCAATGGGTAGTCTTAAAGCTGATTAACGCAGATACGAGCAGGTTCGTCGGTTTCTCGTTGGGCGCGCAAGTGATTGGCATTTGCGGTCAGGAATACCAAAATCTAACCGGCGGACAGAAATTGAAGTTTCTCATCGCCCTTGAACCGGCCGCTCCACTTTTCGAAGGCAAGCCGATCGCTGAACGTCTAGATAAAACCGATGGAGATTTGGTACACGTTTTCCACACGAGCAAGACCGGAATGACTGAGCGATGCGGCCACGTGGATGTTTATTTCAGCTATTCGGAGATCATCTTCTTTATTTTTCAAATTCAAAATTGCGGCGTTGAACAACTCGGATGTCCTACAGAGACCGGTTTGCCCGCTGATAAAGCGGGTTTGCAAACGAGTAAGTGCCATCTGTAATCGGTAGCTGGGTTATGCAGGGGCCTTTTTTTAGTACTTTGCGACCACGTGCGTGCCCCGGCTTATTATATTATCAGCATAACGTCTTCGAATTTCCTGGCCGCTCTATGTACTAGCTGTGATCAGTTTAAAAGAAATGGTTGCAACATTTCCGCGCCAATTGTAGTGGGGGACCGACTCGATCCTGCGACAGGAGATGGGGCGTACTACTTAACGACTTTGGGCAAGCTACCCTTTGCTAAGGGTATCGCTGGTTTACAAATGTAGATGGAACACAGTGAAGAAAAAGATACATCACTTCTTATCTTGTTTATATTATAAACTGTAAATAAAAGAACAATAAACGCTTTGTCAATTTCAGTGCGTTCCTGATCATATTTCTGTCACATCTTTTTTCGTTTCTTTCGTCTCGTGCGCGCTCTATTTTGTCTCTTTCGCTCCCTTGGTTTACTATTCTCTAGTTTTTCTCGCGACTTTCGCTTCTTTCGTCACTCATCTTCTTTGTACCATTCGTAGTTTGCTTTATTGTAGTCATCCTATTGGCCCTCTTAAACATTTTTCCCCGTCTTCTTCTATTTCTTTTCCCTCTTCTTCTTCATCCCCTTTTATTTTATTTATTTATTTATTATTCCTCTCTTGTTCTGGGCCCTCTCATCCGTTTCTCTCCACTTTCGTTTTCCGAACCATGGATCCTTTGTTTTCTCGCCCTTCTTTTCTGTTATCTCCTTTGAAGCATCATTCGAAGATTGCTTCATCTTTTCGCCTCATAAGCTTCAGTTGTAAGTTTCATATCTTTTTTCTCTTTCACATCCCTCCTTTCTTCGTTTATTTGTTCTCCTTCCCACCCTCGCGTCTCTAGAGTCACTCACCCATGATGTTTATTCTTTGGTTCCTCAGTGGGGCACTTGTCTTTTTGTTCTCAACTATTAACTCTTTGTTCCCACCTTAAACGATTAATTTCTTTATCCCCGTTCGTTGTGATTTGGTGTTTATTACTTCGTCCGTGTTCTTTGATCGTGATATCTGAAATGCCTAACGGTTCTGTTCTCCATTCGGATTTTCTTGTCTTCTTCGCCTTTTCGTCTTTCGTACTTATCGTATTTTGACATTTTTGGTCTGACAATCTGGATTGTGTTTTTTCATATCTTTTTGGCTTTTGGTCTCATTCGTATCACTGATCTTTTTAGACGATTTTCTATAATATTTTCTGTTCTTTCGATCCATCCTTACCTGGTACATCTTCTGTTCCGGCACATGCATTTGTTTCGTCTATTTCTCTAGCTAGCCCTTTATTTCGTCCCTGGTTATTCCTTTTTGACCTTTTTCGCGTCTTACGCTTTATTCCCTCTGATCTACTTCTTCATCCCATTCGCGTCCTTCGCCTTTACTGCATCTCTATCGGACTTTTCATCTGGTGCGGTTATGAAAGATGAGGTCGTCGACCTCTAATGACCTTGAAAATAAAATATTATGATGCCTTCAAAATATAGGATTCATTGACCTCTGGTGACAAAAATGAACATTGACCAGAGCTGGGTCGTGCGTTCTAAAAAACTAATTGTCTCAAAAATGCTCGCGAGTTGTTTTTCAAAGCGAAACCACTTGCGAGTTCCGAGCACTCCTAAAAGTGCTCGAGCGGTTTATCTCGTGCGGAAAAAACGCTCAAGAGCGGAAAAAACGCTCAAGAGCGGAAAAAACGCTCAAGAGCGGAACAAACCGCTCGGGACCGAAAAAAACGATCGCGAGCGGCGCTTAATCCTCCAGCGCTTGGGGGCGGTTAAAAGCGCTCATGAGCGAAAAAAAACGCTCAGGAGCGGAAAAGCGCTCGGGAGCGGGAAAAACCGCTCGCGAGCGGAAAAACCACTCATGGGCAGAAAAAAAGCGCTCGAGCGCCGAGCACTTTAAGTAAACGCTCGAGTATCAAGCACCAAGCGGCCGCTTCGAAATGATCTCATGAGCGGACCGCTCGCAAGCGCTTTTTCCGCTTGGAGCGCTTTTTCGAGCGGAAAGCTCGCGAGCAGTACCCAGCTCTGACCATGACACGGCAAAAAATTAAGTTATTGATCTCTGATAAACTTGAAAACTCTGATGGCTTTGAACATTGGATGACACCGCAAAAAATTGATGGTCATTGATCTTTTGATAAATAATGACACCACAAAAAATGTGTAATTGACTTTCAAACTAAAATAAGACCAGTTGATTGGCCTTTGGAGGCGCGCGACTCTTTTCGTGACCTGCTTTCCAAGGTTAACACCAGAACAGTACTTAGGGGAATGGGTGAGAGCACACTTGAACTTCGCCTTGACCTATTTTCCAAGGTCACCTCCACGTGGCTGGTGACTTTTGAACTGCGTGTACCTTTAAGGACGCTCTTCTGGAGCTTTCAATGTCATTTAGGGGGAGAAGATAATGGATGAAGACTTTTATACTTAAACGAATGCGAGAGTATGAGAAGGAACGAGATGACGATGAGAAAAGTATTAGAAAACGAGAGGACCATGGTATGAAAAGATGCGAGGACGGGGGTAGGATAATCAGGTAAACACGGTGAGAGAGACAGATGACGAAGGGGCAAAGAGAAAGGGAAAATGACAGAACCAGATGATCTGAGAACGATATGCCTACTGGACATGGAGGGAGATGGTGATACGTCTCTAATGAGGACGAGAGCGAAATAAGGTAATGATAAAAGAGTAGATAGAGGGTGAAGATGTGGACTGGGGAATAAGAAGACGAGCTGACGAGAGAATGAGAACGATATGACGAAAGACGAGTACGATAGGATGTTAGGTCGAGAGGAGAGTGCAACAGAGCCAGTAGACGACAGGAGAGAAGACAAGAAGGCGTGGATGAGAAGTAAACAAGGATGTGGTGCTAGGAAAAAAGAAGAACTGTAGGAGAGGAGGAGAGAGTGAGATCCCGAAGACAATAGAAAGAGTGCCAGAGAATTTAATGACAAGAGGAGGAAGATTAAAACGAGCAAGAAGACGAAACGAGACAGAAATGGCACGATGATTAAACGAGGAGGAAAGGTTGAGATGACTAATGACCCAAGAAGAAAGGACGACGACGAGGTGTCCGATGTCGAAAGTGAGAAGACGCGCGGAAGATTAAGAGGGGACGATAGATCCAGAAGAATAAAAGAGGAAGCGATGAGAAAATGACATTAAGAGGAGTACGAACTGAAGACGGGATATGGATTGTAGACCAGTAAGGCGAGAGGACCAAAGGACGAGAAAATTAGCGGTAGAGGGCATGGGGCGCGAGGATGAGGTGAATGGCACGAACTGAGAAAACCAGATGCGATACGATCAGAAGAAGGTAGGACGAGAAGAGACCAGGAGAAGAAATTGAGGATGAAACGAGGGGCAAGACCATATATATCCACAAAACGAGAAGAATGAAAAGATGGGGACGAGAATGAGATGAAGAGCGCGAAATCATCTACATTGAGCCACATTCACGCTGTGGACGAAGATTTTCACAGAATTTCCAAGGAATAAAGCGAGAACCTTGAAAATTTCTACGGCGGGACACCCCATGTTACCGATTAGGTGTCGACGGGTCAAATGGAAGCAAAACCGTGGTTGGAAACGTATATTTGAAAAATTTTGCATCTCGCATTTTCAGTCCAGCCCTGCAGTTTCAAGGTTCCAGAGCACGAAAAATGCCAAACGAAAAGGGACTCCGTCATCCCGTCACAGATTGTGAATTCGACATATTTTGTGAAAAGGTGAAAGCGAGCCCACTGAATGGGTCGGTTGTACTTAGACGTTACAAACTGATATGGATCGGCGATGTTGTAAAGGTGATAGACTGAAGTAACTATTTCAGACAGTAGTAACAAAATAATTAAGTTCAAGCCTTTGAGGCATCTTTACACGAAGCAACGTATATCAAAATAATTATACGCGCGAAAGTGATTTCAGACTTCACTTTGACGGTTAGGTTTTACGGCGCGCGATGTAATGGATGTGAATACGCTGAAGAGGGGCGTTCACGTACTTTGAATTAAATTTAGCGTTAGAGAAATTCGTAAATTGAGTAATCGGGATTCTCCTGCATGACGGCATTGCTTCGCAAAAGGAGAAAGGAATAAAGTAGGCATTAAAATGTAAAAGTGAATGACTTTAAGTAATGCGACCGGCGGCAGTTTCTATTGAGTCTTTGTCTTTGTAAGGTGAAATTGGAAAAGGCAACGTAAGTGGTACTTGCATGCCAGGAATTTCCAAGGCATTCCCATGGGAGAAGAGGACAGCGGCAGAGAAGGTTCATATCGCATAGCTCCACGGCGATACAAGCAAAGTAGTTGCAAACAAGTTAATCTTTTCGCTAACCCGACGTTACGTCTCAAGTGAAAACCTTTGCGAGGCAAATTAAACTTGTCAACTTCAGCGCGATTTACTTTGAAAGCGCGATGAATTTCCACCTTTTTCAACATTTGTTTCTGAAATACAACTTCATAAGGCATTAAGCTGACAAATAGGGTGAAGGCGTGCGAAGTGTTCAAAAGTCACAAGAGAGCGAAGTAATAATCCCGTGAAGGGCGAGGTTAAGTAAGGACGCTATCAGCATGTATGCTTGTGGCTGATTGGCCGAATCTGTCAACTCGGCCGCTACCATCTCCGCGTTGCACCCCTGGGATTACCCGAGTTTCCGTACTTGTGTCTCGCAATATGTCAAATCTTCTGACAGCGACCGAAAAAAAGAGTCGCCGCCGCTAAAAGGGATGAAAATGTACGTTTACATGCAGTGGCCGTTTAATCGAATTGCGGTTAATGCGGACGAAAGAGTATGGAGTTGATGGCATTGGAGCCATTGGTCACCTAGCCACAAATCAATTAGTCCCGGGATCCCATTACTTAGGGTTCGAGCTATATTTGACCTGTATTGGCTAGTCAAATCTGATTAAAAATTAACCACTTTGTGTCGTCGCGTCTTTTAACTGACTACCACCGTCGCGACGTGGATTTAAGGTAACTTCCGGAATTGCGTGTGCAGTTAGGTAATCGATCAGGTGCGATATTTTAACGAATACAATACGATCTAAATATTCTCACGTCAAGATATTCCCAGGACAATCCAAGATAATGTCAAAATACCTGCAGGATATCTCAGAATGAAGGGCGATATATTGAATAGGGTGAGAAGATAACCTCAAACGTATCGCAAGATAATCAGGGTAATTTATAGTTGCTCAAAATCTTAGCTTTAAGTTACTTCTAGACGATTTTTTTTATTGGGAGTTCGCGATTGCTCCTTTTTCTACCCAAAGTTTGTTCTTTTACATTTGCTTTGTTTCCACGAAAAATGTAGTATTTTCATTCTGCTTCAAT